TGACTGCTTTGAAGGAGAATTATTTCCTTATTTTTTCTTGCTTCTAGAGGCTGCCCACATTCCTTGACTCATGTCCACATCATTTCTACCTCTGCTTCTATCATAAGCACATACACACGCACACAAAATATACACACATATATATGTATGGATATAGATATTAATGAATACATACATGTATGTATACATACAAAGGTACACACACACACACACACACACACGTATATATATAAAACATGTGGGGTGGGAGAGTTAAGTTGCCCAGGGTGGACTCAATTCCCGGATCTCAGGCAATCCTCTTGCCTTCCAAGTAGTTGGGACTACAGGCATGCACCACTATGCCTGGCTCTATCATCATATTATCATATTTACAAACATTTTTCTGCTGGACTAAGCCCACTGTACTGGTATCAAACCACTGGTTTGATATTGCAGGGGTTTTTTTTGTTCGTTTCTTTTTTTTTTTTTTTTTTTTGAGATGGAGTCTCACTTTGTCGCCCAGGCTGGAGTGCAGTGGCGCGATCTCGGCTCACTGCAAGCTCCGCCTCCCGGGTTCACGCCATTCTCCTGCCTCAGCCTCCCGAGTAGCTGGGACTACAGGCGCGCACCACCACGCCCTGCTAATTTTTTGTATTTTTAGTAGAGACGGGGTTTCACCGTGTTAGCCAGGATGGTTTTGATCTCCTGACCTCGTGATCCGCCCATCTCAGCCTCCCAAAGTGCTGGGATTACAGGCGTGAGCCACCGCGCCAGGCCAATATTGCAGTTCTTACAAGCAGCCTTCCTTTCCTTGTGTGGTTTTCTTCCCTTTTTTTTTCCCTTGTGGTGTTTCTGACACTTTTCCCAAAAACATTAGCTATTTGTACTGAAATAAATATTACAACTAGAAAAATCCGAACTGAGTCAGAACCTATGTTGCAAGCATTGTAGATATTTTTGTAATGATAGGGAAATAAAATGAAGAAAGACTAAATAGCTTCTTCAAATTTTCATAGTTAAAAACTATGACGCTTACTTTAAGGTATTTACTTCATGTAAGTAAGTGAGTTCAGTAAGACCTGTTTTGGACTTCCGAATTCCAGAATTGTAAGATAATCAGTGTGTGCTTTTTTTTTTTTTTTCTAGCTACTTAGTATGCTTTTTAGTTCAAGCAGCAACAGGAACTAGTATAGATTTTGTGAAAAAAGTAACCCTTGCAATTATACCACCTGGAGAACAGGGAGCTGACATATTTCTGTACTATCTCCCAAGTGTTTTATATATATACATATATATATATGAGAGAGAGATATATCTCTCATATATATGAGATATATATATATAAACTGTGATATATATGCTTGTGTGTTTATATGTATAAACTGTGATATATATGTCTCTCCTCTCTCTCTCTCTCTCTATATATATATATCTCACAGTTTCTTTATCCACTTATTGATTGATGGGCATTTGGGCTGGTTCCATATTTCTGCAACTGCAAGTTGTGCTGCTATGATTATGTGTGTGCAAGTATCTTCTTCATATAATGACTTCTTTTCCTCTGGGTAGATACCCAATAGTGGGACTGCTGGATCAAATGGTGGTTCTACTTTCAGTTCTTTAAGGAATCTCCACACTGTTTTCCATAGTGGTTGTGTTAGTTTACATTCCCACCAGCAGTGTAGAAGTATTACCTGATCACCACATCCATGCCAACATTTACTGCTTTTTTATTTTTTGATCAAGGTCATTCTTGCAGGAATAAGGTGGTATCGCATTGTGGTTTTGATTTGCATTTCCCTGATCATTTGTGATGTTGAGCATTTTTTCACATTTCTGTTGGTGATTTGTATATCTTCTTTTGAGAATTGTCTATTCATGTCCTTAGCCTACTTTTTGATGGGATTGCTTGTTTTTTTTTTCTTGCTTATTTATTTGTGTTTGTTGTAGATTCTGGATGTTAGTCCTTTGTTGGATGATAGACAGCAAAGACTTTCCTCACTCTGTGGGTTGTCTGTTTACTCTTTAATTTAATTAAGTCTCAGCTATTTATCTTTGCTTTTATTGCATTCGCTTTTTGGTTCTTGGTCATGAAACCCTTGCCTAAGCCAATGTCAAGAGGGGGTTTCCAATGTTGTCTTCTAAAATTTTTATAGTTTCAGGTCTTAGATTTAAGTTCTTAATCAATCTTGAGTTGATTTTTGTATAAGGTGAGAGATGAGGATCCAGTTTCATTCTCCTACATGTGGATAGCCAATTATCCCAGCACAATTTGTTGAAAAGGGTGTCCTTTCCCCATTTTGTTTTTGTTTGCTTTGTTGAAGATCAGTTGGCTGTAAGTATTTGGGTTTATTTCTGGGTTCTCCATTCTGTTCCACTGGTCTATGTACCTATTTTTATACCAGTACCACGCTGTTTTGGTGACTGTGGCCTTAGAGTATAGTTTGAAATCAGGTAGTGTTGATACTTGCAGATTTGTTCTTTTTGCTTAGTCTTGCTTTGGCTATATGGGCTCTTTTTTGGTTTTATATGAATTTTAGAATTGTTTTTCCTAATTCTGTGAAGAATGATGATGGTACTTTGATGGGGATTTCATTGAATGTACAGATTGCTTTTGGCAATATGGTCATTTCCACAATATTGATTCTACCCATTTATGAGCATGGGTTGTGTTTCCATTTGTTTGTGTCATCTAGATTTTTATCAGCAGTGTTTTGTAGTTTTCCATGTAGAGGTTTTTGCCTCATTGGTTAGGTATATTCCTAAGGTTTTTTGTTTGTTTGTTTGTTTTGCAGCTATTGTAAAAGGTATTGAGTTCTTGATTTTATACTCTGCTCAGTCACTGTTCACGTATAGAAGAGTTACTGATTTAGGTACATTAATCTTGTATCCAGAAACACTGCTGAATTCTTTGATCAATTCTAGGAGCTTTCTGGAAGAGGCTTTAGGATTTTTGAGGCAACCGATCATATCGTGAGCAAACAGTGACAGTTTGACTTCCTCCTTACCAATTTGGATGCCCTTTATTTCTTTCTCTTGTCTGGTTGCTCTGGCTAGGACTTCCAGTACTATGTTGAAGAGGAGTCTGAGAGTGGGCATCCTTGTCTTGTTCCAGTTCTGGAGGGAATTATTTCAACATTTCCCCATTCAGTATTCTGTTGGCTGTGGGTTTGTCATAGATGATTTTTATTTCATTGAGGTATGTGCCTTGTATGCCGATTTTGCTAAGAGTTTTAATCATAAAGGGACGCTAGATTTTTTCAAATGCTTTTCCAGCATCTATTGAGATGATCATGTGATTTTTGTTTTTAATTCTGTTTTTGTGGTGTACCACATTTATTGACTTGAGTATGTTAAACCATCCCTGTATCCCTGTTATGAAACCCACTTGATCATGGTGGATTATTTTTTTGATACATTGTTGAATTAGGTTAACTAGTATTTTGTTAAGGATTTTAGCTCTGTGTTCATCAAGGATATCAGTCTGTAGACTGGGAGGCTAGGCCTATGTCTCCTCTTCATGTTTTTCTGCCTGCTTTATATTTGCTGGCAGCTTATTAGATGGTGCCCATAAGATTAAGAGTGGATCTGCCTTTCCCAGCCCACTGACTCAAATGTTAAACGCTTTTGGCAACACCCTCACAGACACACCGAGGATCAATATTGCATCCTTCAATCCAATCAAATTGACACTCATTATTAACCATCACAAGTTCCATAAAAGCTAAAATAGCAAAATGAGAAATTAAACTGTGAAACTCATTTTACTTCAGTTTCTGCATTGCGAAACACATGTATTATGGTATAGTTAAAAAACAAGCAAACAAACAAAAAGATAACTTTGGATTGGGATATTTGAAGATGAGTTTCTTTCCCTGAGTACCGATTCATAATGGCCTAAGATCACATTCATGTTATTGACTTTATGATATATTTTTCTCTACATAATATTTTTCTGCAATACATACATGTAGCCATTCCACCTTTCTACCTAGCACTTGAAGCAACCTGTACATCCCTTGAACTTTTTTTTTTTTTTTTTTGAGATGGAGTCTCACTCTGTCCCCCAGGCTGGAGTGCAGTGGCGCCATCTCGGCTCACTACAACCTCTGCCTCCCGGGTTCAAGCAATTCTCTGCCTCAGCCTCCCGAGTAGCTGGGATTGTAGGCACCCTCCACTATGCCCATCTAAGTTCTGTATTTTTAGTAGAGATGGGGTTTCACCATGTTGGCCAAGCTGGTCTTGAACTCCTGACCTTGTGATCTACCCACCTCAGCTTCCCAAAGTGCTGGGATTACAGGCGTGAGCCACCATGCCCGGCCTGAACTTCTCTTTTCTTTACTCTAGGCTTTTAAAATGTGTCTCACCAGGTTGTGTGACCAACTCCTTCTTGATTCACAAATCTGTTTCAATGAAATTCTTACCTTTTTTTTTACTTTACAAATATGTCGATGTCTAGAATTTTGTTTCCAAGAATGCATAACTGTATAAAATGTGTAGACTGTGTCAACAAATCTGCCTTAGATACCGTGTATAAGAGACTACAGTTACCTATGTGATACCAAAGCCTTATAAAACCGAAATATCAAGGCACTAGAGAGGGCAACCCAGTGAGTTATTGAAGAGTACAATTTCGGTTTCTAGCGAGGTCAGAATATAGTTATATTAGTTCATGTTTACAATGTTTTGATCTTTTAGAGGTGTGGTATGATGTGCCAGGCATGGGGGCTGAGAATGTCATAGATTTTGACTTATAATCCCTCTATCTCTAATGCTTCGTAATGCTTCACCTCTATCTAATTCTGAGTCTGAGTATCTGTTCCTCACACTTCTTTTACCCACTTCTCCCATTATTACTGTTTAACTGTCCTGTGCCATATGGGACTGAAGTAAAATTATTTTGAAACTAGGCTCAAGAAAGAGAAAAGTTATCATTGTAAACCAACATACTTACTGTTATTAGACTTGGGGTGGGAGAAATGTGTATATATATGTATATGTGTGTATCATATCTATATATCTATGTGCATAAATCTGTATTTATCTAATCTCTATTTCTCTATTGAGAGAGTGTGTGTGTGAAGAAAGAAAAAGAGACAGTGAAAGAGAAGAGACCTACTATTTGATAGCATAATAAGGTAACTATAGTCAATAATAATGTAATTGTATATTTTAAGATAGCTTAAGGGATGTAATTGAATTGTTTTAACTCAAAGGATTAATGCTTGAGAAGACAAATACTCCATTATCCATGATGTGTGCTTATTTCACATTGGATGCCTGTGTCATGTACCTCATAAATATATACATCTATTATGTACCCACAAAACTTGCTTAAAATAATTTTCAAAAATTTTTTAAAAAGATAACTGGAGGCAAATAATCCCCCCCCGACATATACACACACAAAAGGTGCTTAAACTGTAGCTTCACCTATGATATGTGATTGAGTTATGAGGTAGAGTACAACAAAAACAATAAAGTTCACTCTGTAACATGTCTCTGAACCCAAAGTTGCCTCCCATTCAACAACTGCAAATATGTTCACAAGTTAAAGAGGACAGGTACTCTAAATACTACATACTGGGTTTTTTCTCTTTCAACTTTTAAGTTCTGGGGTACATGAGCAGAATGTTCAGATTTGTTACATAGGTGAATGTGTGCCATAGTGGTTTGCTGCACAGACCAACCAATCATCTAGGTATTAAGCCGAGCATCCATCAGCTATTTTTCCTGTTGCTCTCCTGCCTCCCACCCTCACCCTCCCCAATAGGCCTCAGTGTGTGTTGTCCCACCATGTGTCTATGTGTTCTTATTATTCATCTTCCACCTGTAAGTAACAGCATCTGGTGTTTGGTTTTCTGTTCTTGTGTTAGTTTGCTGAGGATAACAGTTGATACTACATAGTTTTAATCAGATTTGCAGTCCTCAGGAACAATGCTAACGTCCTTCTGTCTATAGCCATTCAAAGACTTGAGTGGGATGAAGGGTGGGAGTGATTCAGAGCTTATGGTTTTAAACTGCATCTCTTACAGATGTTTGAGGTTTGGGTGGAGAAATCAGGGGAAAAAAGAATGAGAGAAAGACATAGATGGAGCTAAGTTTCATTCAAAATGTGAGGGGTTTACTTTAGCAAGATGACAGTAATTTTGTTCATTGTTTATCAAGAAACTTGTGTTATTTGTGGTGATCCTTAACTGTTGGATTTTGAACTTTTTTTAAAAAAAATAGAAATTTAAAAAATTTTCTTGATATTATCCTTGAAATTTTCTTTTCTTGATAATATCTGCAGAACTTTTTTCTGTAAAGGTGTTTCTAAATATAGGGTAAAATTTTAAGCAAATATATCATTAAACAGCTTTTGTACCATGTTTTGACCACATTTGCACTGAATGAGATTTGGATTTATCTATGACCTCCCTTACTTTCACTGCCCCAGTCTTTTGAGAGATAATTGTAATTGTTATTTAAAATATCATAGTTAATACTATTGAGATTTTTTAGCCATTATAGCAAATTATAATTTACAAAACTATTTATGCATGTTATTGTATTTCATCTTCACTCAAGTTCATTGAGGTGGATAAAGACTATTATTTTCCTTTTACAGAAAAAATACCAGAGAATCAGAAAGATTAAATAACTCAGGTAAAATTTTCAGGGTCAGAATGAAGATCTCATAAGACAATTAGTGACCCTTAGACAATGAAAATGTGTTTTTGTGAAGAGTCGGAAAAATTTACATTAGGAGCCAGCTTTTGAAAGGTACTGACAGTGTGAGCTTGGCCAAATAATTAAGCCCTGTGAGCCTCAGTTTTATAGATTGCTAAATAGAAATAATAATAACTACCTTGTAGAAATGTTGTGAACGGAAGAATGCTATACTTAAAACAAATAGCAGAGGCCTGCCACCTATTATGTAACCAATGAATTGTAGTTTGTTTTCACCACTCCTCCTGTAGAACATATGCTAGTGTGTGTTTTCTTGACATTCAAAATTTTGCATGTTAGGCTGCTCAGTATGGAGCTCCATTTCCTCCCAACAACAAGGTTTGAATGAGATAAGCCTAGGGGGAAAGCTTTCAGCTTTGACAATTTTATAACAGAGGAACAACTCTTCTGAAAACATGCAGCTGAAAAATCTATAACTAGATGGCTGGGGTAAATTCTCAAAAAATGTTTAAGTGTCAAAAAGTACAACAGAGTAAAGAGCTATATACTATGTCGTAGAAATATTACGGTCTCAGAAATCCTGATATTTCTTGATTCTGAAGGTGTTCACACAGATACCCAGAGTGGATCCAGTGAAGGGACTAAGCAGCAAGGTACTTGGACCCACAACTGATGGAGAAACCATTCCCGTCCTGGGGCAGTGGCTGAGGTGACAGAAGCGATTATCCCAGCTTGGGGACTGAAAAAAGTAGAAACTCTTCCAACACCTTTAGTGTTTGCGGAAATGTGGAGCATACTCTTCAGTTTCTTTCCTTTTAATAAAAGCTAAAATACTTCATAGGCATTGTGTTTGATATATTTGAAAAGATAGCTATTTTCTTCCTTCCTATCTAAAAGAATTTTCACATGTTGCCAAAACAGAATAAGAAAGTACATTGGACACAATAATACAAGCATTTCTCATTTTTAATTAATTAATTAATATTGAAAAGCTAACAAGGGAGGACTGAAGTAAACAGAAGTTGAATATTCAGTGAAAGGGAACCCTCAGTGACTCACACCACATAAACACAGTAAAAATTTTGAGCAGTAGCAGCCCAGATGCTCATGAAAAACAACAGAAGAAAAACCTGAAAGCAGTATCATTTTGACTTTACAAAAAAGTTTATCAGGTAGAATTGGCAGCCTTGGACTAAAAGGCACTGAATTAGTGTTCCCAGATCTTAACTTGTATTCATTTATCTTAGAAAATAACAGAATTAAGAAAAAAAAGAAAACTTTACTTTTCTGAAATATTTCCTTATGCATTCACTTCTCTAGATACCATTTGACACACTACCATCCTATAATTCATTTGTACATTGAGTCTCCTTAATATCTTTACTTGGTATATATCTTGTGCCATTATTTAATTAAAGCATAATTATAAGACACTGACATAATAAAACATTCAAATGAACAGGCCATTTCATTTCCAAATGAAAAGCATTTGGACTCAGCTGTGCAAGGGAAAGTAATCTCTTTCAATGAAAACACCACAGGCTTGGGGAATAATAGTTATCTTCAGAAATGACATAAATACATCTGACTTTGAAAGGTTAGGAATATTCAGTCTCTCTCTCTCATTTACAGAGGACAGAAATTTCTAATTATAAAGATAACGTAAATGTGCTTTGTTGACTTAAATAACAAGATAGTCAATATTTTTATATCTTTTAGAAATGACAAGACAGGCAATACAGAAGCAGGCAATAAAATTATGAAGGTAGAAGTGTTCTGTTGCAAAGATAGGGTTAGCAGTCAGCACATACGTACCAGCAATCGAGGATGCCTATATATCTATATAGATATAGATATATACACACACTAATCTTCTCTGTTTATATACAAATTTTTTGTGTCAGAAGCAGTTTCCAACACAATGGAATGGATACATGACAAAGTGCATAATAAAATTATACATGTTCCTCAGGTTTTGAGTAAGACTGTTAAGACATATATATTGTGCCTTTGGAAATGAAGAAAGAATTAGAGTTTTAAGACTATGGTTAGCAGGGATATTTCCGGGTTTGAAATTTAATCACGTTCTTTGATGTTGGTCCTGGTTGGGTCCTAATCAGTCAAATTTTATGTGAAAGAGATCTATTTAATATAGATAGTTTCTAAGTAGTTTATTTTTTAAATAAAACGTATGCTGCTATTCAATATGATCATGAATGTGGTCATGGTCAATTACCTTTCCTATAAGGCAATTGTGAATTTCTGTTTTGAGAAGAGAAAGCTACCATTTTTATTTCTTCACCATCAGGAAATGAATGCATCTGAAGAATAGAGTCAAGACTCAAGTAAAATAATAATGTGATAACTATCTAAGTGCTAAAGTATCATACAAGTAATAATACAAGTTTTCTGGTCATTTCTAAATAGCCATCTCTAATTTGTACTGCTCGTCATACTAACTTGGAATCAGTATTAAAAATCAAGTTTACACATCTATAAACCTCAATTCTGTCTTGAGGGAAGTTAGAAAAGTTTGCAGGATTTTATCAAATAGGGAAAGGGTCACAGAAAAACAACTCTGCAATCCATGTCAACTTAGAAACAAATTTTGGCTGTGTAAACTCCAGTTGACTATTGCTATATCTAAACCTGTGCTCATTAAACAATCGGGGAATCATTAACACCCCTGAATAGTGTTCTCCATTTTGTAATCTGATAAACCATCATGGGTCCTTGCTCTTCTTCATGGCCATAGTCCCCTCACCTCCAGATTCTCTCTGTTCTATCTACCAAGTACTTTTATCCAAACACAACTTAAGATAATAGGGAGCCAGAGAGAAAGAGAAGATAAACCTTGCACAATGGCAGAAGCAATAATCCTAACATTTACAACTTAATCTTGTGTAATAGGCATAAGATACAAACCATAGTATTGTTTGAAAGAATATATATTATAAAGAATGTAAATGGTTTATTACTCAATCCCTCATTTAACAGAAGAGTATAGCGAAAGAGGAAAGAGTCAAAGACTTGCCCGAGATCCTGCAACTAGAACTAGATTACTTTGGGCAATATGGCCATTTCCATGACATAGATTCTTCCTATCCATGAGCATGGAATGTTTTCCCATTTGTTTGTGTTCTCTCTTATTTCCTTCAGCAGTGGTTTTTAGTTCTCCTTGAAGAGGTCCTTTATGTCCCTTATAAGTTCTCACTCATAAGTGGGAGTTGAACAATAAGAACACAAGGACACAGGGAGGGGAACATCACACACTGTGGCCTGTCAGAGGTTGGGGTGCAAGGGGAGGGATAACATTAGGACAAATATTTAATGCATGCAAGGCTTAAAACCTAGACGATGGGCCGATGGGTGCAGCAAACCACCATGGCGCATGAATACCTGTGTAACAAGTCTGCATGTTCTGCACATGTATCCCAGAACTTAAAAGTATAATAATAATTTTAAA